CAACCTTCTAGCCTATAACCCCTCTCTCTCTCTCTCTCTCTCTCTCTCTCTCTCTCTGTCTCTCTCTCTCTCTTTCTCTCTTTCTCCTCCTCTCCTTCTTTCTTACGCGCACACACACATCTGCACACACACATCTACACAAACATCCACAACCCCAGGTTGTGGATGTTTGGCTTAGCAAGACTACCTCAGGAATATGCAAAGCCTCCCCACACCTGACTGGGTTGCACCAGATTGGTTGATCACAACTCAAGCAGAGACTCCAGGTATTACCCGGCATTACTGTCGTTTGGCTTTTTGTTGTTGTTGTTGGTTTCTTGTTCCTGTTTACAGAGGACTCCTATTTGTGGAATTGCCCTCGCAGGGGTATTCGGAAATCTCTCCAGAATCCAAGAAGGAGACTAGATTGTGAAATGTAAAACCTGAATGAATGGGGATTTGGGAGAGAGGGAGAGGGAGAGGAAAGCCTGTGGTAATTCACATTCTTTTACATGGCTTTTGTTTACGTTAAGCGTGTAATTAACACCCTCCCTCCCCACATCTCCCCCCAAACAAGTTTATTCACCTGGCGTAATTGTGTGTTTATCGCTGAATGTTCCTGACAGCGGGGGGTGACGGGAGCTCTGAATGCGCGGGGAGAATTTGGTGAGTTCTCAGTTTGCTAACAGCCTTAAAAAAACAACAACAACAACAAAACAAAAATCTCCATACACACACACACACACACACACACACACACACACACACACACACACACACACACACACACACACACACACACACACACACACACACACACACACACACACGTCTTCTTGGAGGTGTCTTATTATTTGTGGGCTACTCTGTTTAAGAAAATAAGTTTCCGCAGAATAAATAAGTCGATACAGAGACGCCCATTGGATCCGAGGCGTTATTCGTCGTCCTGGTTATTCCCTGCTTACTGTCTGTTTGTCCTCATCAGTCTGTCCCAATGAGGAAAAGCAAATAAACAAAGATGATGTTACGTCATGTGAGGGGGTGAGAGAGAGAGAGAGAGAGAGAGAGAGAGAGAGAGAGAGAGAGAGAGAGAGATGGGCACTGGATGAGAGAAATAAATAAATAAAAAGGTGTTGGCTGAAAAAGGTATAACAGAGAAAGAGAAAGAAGGCAGGAAAGTAAGGATCTTGTTTTATTTCAGTTATTTATTTATTTATTTTTCTCCCCTGATCCCTCGTTGACCTTCTGTTTGGAGAGAGGAAGGCAGCAGCACAGCAGAGCAAAGCAGAGCACAGCACAGCATAGCAGAGCACTACTCACTGGCAAACACAGGAGAGAGGCGCTGCTGCTGCTGCTGCTGCTGAAGCTGCTGCTGCTGAAGCTGCTGAAGCTGCTGCTGCTGAAGCTGCTGCTTCTGAAGCTGCTGCTGCTGAAGCTGCTGAAGCTGCTGCTGCTGAAGCTGCTGCTGCTGAAGCTGCTGCTGCTGCATCCGGGATTCACCTCATCTACACTGGACTGGATCCTGGATTGATCACGGGTAGGGACCAAACAATCATACAACTGTTATTATTATTATTATTATTATTATTATTATTATTATTATTATTATTATTATTATTATTATTATTATTATTATTATTATTATTATTAATATTATTATTATAAAAGCGACTAGATTATTTTGGTATTGCTGCATAGATTCCTGAAAACAGGCGTCTTAAAGAAATGTTTTTACTATTGCTTGCATTTTATTTTCTGACAGAATTATATATTAGTAATTACTTCTTACTGGTTTTCTTTTTATTCTTCTTTTTTTAATTTCTTTGCAGTTTTCCAAAAAAAACAAAAACAAACAAAAAAAAACTGTAGATTTAAGGCTGGATGGAGGCGGCACCGGCTCCGCGCCCATTCAGTGGAGATCCAGCTGCGACTCCTGTAAGTTTTTCCCACCTTGGAATCGTTAACAACTTTTTTTTTCTCAATTGTTCATTTTTAGTTAAACTATTGTTTAAAATTAGCAACAGTTTTCCTGTGAGCTTCTTTTTTTTTTCCCCCCGCTTTAAATGCATCTAAATGCATTTAAATGCATTTCCCACAGTTTATAAAAAATATACATATCTGAATAGACCGAGCACTGACTGGATCTGCGCCTCTGGCTGAGCGATGAATGATGCTGTCGGGACGGGGCGCACAGTCCCCTTCATCTGACCACCGAGAACAAATAATGAGCCTACACTGTAAAAAAATGCCAGGTTGAGGAAAACATATTATTTCCAACAACAAATGTTTTTTTAAGTATGGTCCTATATATATATATATATATATATATATATATATATATATATATATATATATATATATATAATATATATATATATATATTATATATATATATATATATATATATATATATATATTATATATATATATCCTGTAGTTTATCTAGCGAAATAGTTTAACATTGTTACTTAAAGAACCTTTAAACTATGTTGCTCCACTAGTGCTTGTCCTCATTCCACTAGTTTGTGCCTTAACCTAAAAATAATGAATAAAAATAAAAAATGCAGACATAAAAAAATTGGTGTTGTCACAATGACCGGTAAACACGGCGCCAACTTTAACAGCATAGGTACAAAAGTTTTCTCTCTCTCTCTCTCTCTCTCTCTCTCTCTCTCTGTTTTTCTCTCTCTCTCTCTCTCTCTCCCTCTTTTCTTTTTTTCTCTTATTGTTTTTATTGTGTGGTCTCATTAGGGGGACTTCCTGGCAGGACTGGGCGCTTGTATCGGAGCTGTCCAATCAGTGTATTTACACGGGTTGTTAGCGACAGTTAATGAGGGCTCCTCCCCGGGCCGGGAGAGAAAAGGCGCCTCAACATTAAGATCTACCTTGTGTCAACTCGTTACTTCTAATGAACCTCCCTGAAAAAAAAGGGGGGGGGGGGGGGGGGGAAGCCTCCTCCGTAGTCAATGGAGCCGCGCGCCCCGGATCTTGTGTGTGCGGGACTGGAAGAGTGGAGCTGCGAGCCGGGCTCCCTTCTCTCCCCCACATCCCACTTTTTGTTTCTCTTTCTCTCTCTTTTTTTTTTTTACCCCCTCTTGCACACCCAGCCTTATGATGCATGCATTGTTCTGCGCGGTGCATGCCTGCTCTTTATGGATTGTCGGCGCCAAAACGTAGTTCGCAAACGTTTGGCTGCAAACTACGGCTGAGCTCATTCCACTCTGGAGGTTTTTGGAGTTACATGGATTAGTCGAATAGAAACCGTGACCGGGAAGCGGGAGGGAGAGTTTGCGTGCCTCCGTCACAAACTCAGCGCGTCTGCCATTGTTTGCTGAATGAGGCTTGACATGTCAACTTATTGCCTTTGCAGAAAAGAAGTTCCTTTATTCCCCTCCCCCCACCACTCCCCCCAAGAGCAGATCAGCCTCTGGCCCCTGTGTCCATCCCTCATCTGGCCCCCAGTGTGGCTTGTTGAGCCGCATCAGCAACACATCACTGCCCCTGAATTCAGGTACAGACCGGAGGAGTTTGGCAGATCACTAAAAGTGGATTTCCATCCCACTCTTTCCAAACCACGGAAACGCTTAACAATCAATTAGCCCTGTCTGGCCCTCTGCCTGCACCAGGCACCGTTAGGAAGAAAAAAACAAAAACAAAACAAAAACACAAACTAAAGCAGGTGAGTTCAACAGGACCAAACTGGGAATATTTAGGTTTTATTACCAACTTTAATCACAGTGGAAACAAACATTTAGCCTTTTTATCAATGAAAATGCTAACTTTTCATTGATACATATTTGAAGCAGTATCTCCTCAATCCTCCTCTCCACTTTGTGGTCAAGGTGCACAAACCTCTAAACTTCTTAAATACATTACAACATGCCACTTGCCAGCTGCTTCCATGTTAACCACGACCCGGAAATGTTGTTCCAAGAGCCTCTGGGAATAAAACCTTCAACTAGTGAGTTTATTTTAATATTAGCACTGTCGGTGTAGCTACATCTTTTCTTTTTCTTTTTTTTTAAATCTCTTCATATAGGGAGCAAAAATAAATTAATAATGCTAGTGAGTCAGCTCTCTTTTCTCAACAACGTTTGGATCAGTCCATACACAGTTTCAGCCGTTGTTACTTCCATAAGCGTTGCGCTGGGGTCGCTTTGGGGTCGCTACACGGAAGCCTGTTGGCTTGTCACCAAGTGTGATTTTCAGCATTACCGCTGTCGCCAGGCTAGTCAAAGGTGACGCTCTACAGAGCTGTCATCAGAAATACTTCCCTGACCTGCGGCGGCATCTTCTTGGAAAATGATTTGAATACTTGAATGTGGTGAACACCAGCAAGCATCACCGGTTAACGGCTTATCTACCCTCTTAACTTTACATAAGAAACAAGAACTCTCTTTGGCTTGACAAATTGTATTTAGCTGTTTTGTGCTGACACAGCACTATTCCCTATGGATAAGAGTATTTTTTTTATTTTGAGTTGTTCTAAGCTGACGACATCTAAAGTTGCCTAGCTGGCTAGCCATTAGCCGTCAACCACTGTGAGAACTTCATTGTTTTCTAGAAAGCCCACAGTGTTATGGTAAGGGGACCATACCAACACTGTCACATAGAGTGAGCTAACTTTTTAAAGCTGTTTACAAACTTAATGTACTGCTCCAACACAAATCTAATTAGATCTTTTAACTGTGCTGATGTAATATTTTCCACAGCAATTCCACACACAAAGGACAAGAACACACCACGACTGACTGAACCAATGCCTTCAGCTAAACTGCGATGCACATATTTATTGTGTCCAAAGTTATTAGGATTTACCCACCAGAAGATACTAGGATTACAAACCAAAATGGTTGCTTCAAATCTAAATAATTTTTCATGGATAATTTAATTTACTAGGAAATTCTGGTTTTTCAGCGCAGAGTCCCAAACACATACTTTGACCTCTCTAAATATGAGACGTCGTGAAGAAACGTTTTCCTTTCGCCTGTTCAAGCCGAGCCCTTCAGAGTGAAGAGGTGTTACCCAACATGTTTGCACACCATAATGAGATTTACCCTTTCCCAAGCAAATACAACCACCAGCAACCAGCAGCTGACCAACTGCTATGAAATACTTGCAGATCTCTGCACTTGATGTGTTTGCAATCTCTCCTGGGCTGCTGATAAGTTTTATTATTATTATTTATTTTTTTATAGAATGCATTTTTTAGTGTCTTTTTTTTAGCATCAGCCGCCTGGTGCAGCAATGTGACAGAGAGGGGCAGCGCCGCAGGAGGCCGGGTGTTCGCTCTTCCAGGTAGATGGGTCGATTCATGAACAGGGAGAAATAAATAGAACCGGCGCGTATCAGATGAGTTGCCCCAAGCTTTGCACATGATGCACACCTTAACTTTCCCCAATAACTGTCTCACAGATTAAAAAAAAAAAAGAAGAGTCAGTCAATTTATCCTTCCAGTCCCTAAATAAGGTGCTGTCAGGCATGAATGAGGCCAACACAATGACCAGCCAGGGATCTTCTGTTTTGCATTCGTCTGTCCTGGATGATTAACACGGCCGGGACTCCAGCATGTTAGATGGGAACTGTGGAGATGGCCCTTTAGCCCGGTGTCACAGGAGCTGACAAGATGCAATTACCGCGGCTGACACGTCCAACCCCAGAGCTCACTAATGTGTGGGATGCGGGAGCCACAGACAGTTTCTCGCACACTGTACGGAGAGAGGCAACTTTGCGGCCAAGGAGTCCCGTTTTCAACGCAGCTCTGCGTGACAACCTTTCACCAGTAAAACAGCTGCTGACTTAGCAGCAGGTGAAGATGTGGCGCGGAGCATCGTGGGACTGTAAACGCAGGACAACAGAGAGCTAGTCTACTGGGTTTTGAAAGGACATACACTACAAAAAAGGAATGTAGGACGAGATGAACTATTACTCAGAAAATTATTATTATTTTTGTTTTGTTTTTTGTCAATCAGATGGCTGGAATACAGTTTAAGGAATTGATTCAGTCTGTAAATTTATACTCTTATATGACTATATTAACTTAGTAAAAAATGAGAACTACATGGAAACATTTGACTGAAGAAGTTTATGTGCTTAAGTTTGAACCCAGTTTGAGCTTATTACTCATCAGTGCTAATGCTAGTTTGAAAGCAGTAAGGGGAGCTTATCTAAAAGTAATATTATTAGCTATTGATTCTTGATACAGGACACAAAAGTGATTTTAATTATTATTATTATTATTTTAAAGCACTGAGGTTTTAAACAATGCGTTTAGGTTGTTTCAGCTGTGAAACGCACAAACTTTGAATGACTTATAACAAAATAAAATGCATAAAAATTAAATGAAATTTTCATCTGTCAAATTATATACAAAAAAACACTTTTTAGGTAAAGGTAAATGATAAAGCAAATGAATTATTTACATGAAATGTGCAGGACTTAAAAAAAAAAAAAAAATATATATATATATATATATATATATATATATATATATATATATATATATATATATATATATATATATATATATATATATATATATATTATATATATATATATATATAAATTAAAATCTGATTATTAATATTCTTTTGATCACCTGTTTTGTTTTTGTTTGTTTGATTGTTTGTTAAAAAGGAACAAAATAAAAATAGAATATATAGAAAAAGAAATTGACCTTTTAATCCTGAGTTTTGCCTCAGGGCTAAGAAGCTCAGCATGCTAGCATGCTTGTCTTTAACATTAGCTCTGTCACTAATCCAGCTGAAACTGGATATGAACTTCAATTCTTGCTCCTATACAAAGACTCTCTAAACCAGATGTTTTATGGAGGCTCTTAACTTTTACTCAGTCTGAATATTCACTAATAATAAACCCCATCTGGACATGGGAGTCTTAGCATTTAGTGTACAGAGCAAATATCAACAACGCATTCAGATAAATCTAATCCAAAAGTTTGGGTAAGATTTCTTTCCGGCATAAACTGTTGTAAGAATTCAAACACTGCAAACCAGCTTAAGTTAAAACTTATGTGGCTAAAATGTAATATCCTACAAAAGAAATGTTTAAAGTATACGAGTTATGTACTTTATTAAACCAAACAAACTATAATGTCAGTCAAGACAGAAACAGGTCATCCTAAAGTAAAAACAATTTAGTCGAACGCTTTCAGATTTGTGGTACTTTTCTTGAAGAAAGTTTCTAATTTTATTTCCTATAAACATGTCGTTATTTTTGGAGTTAATGCATTGTTATACCACTGTTGTTGTTTTTTTGCTAACACCTCTAGCACCAATAAGCAATAATCACTTATATCAGTGCAAAGGCTGTTCTTATTAGCATTACAAACTTTAGAGTTTGTATTGGTATAAAAATGGGCTGTAGGCATTATAACCCACTGAGGTGTGAATGTTTCTTCCTGTCTCTGATTTGATAAATTCTATTAGATTTTCCCATGATGTAAACTGTCACCCGGTTCCAGTTTAAAACCCACACTAGCTGCTTGTCACACTCATTTATTCCTCTCCCGGCATGCAGAAGTTACGCCTCCCGAAGCGCAAGGACTCCCATTAAAAGTCTCCAATCAACCAACATGAGTGATCCACAGCTGAAGTGTCCCTTCTACTCTGTATGTATTTGTCGCAGTGATCCAAATGCTGTTCTCACATTTTGATTGTTTATTTTTACATGACCAGCAAGTTCTTCTTCTCTCTGTCTCTCTCTCTGTATGTCTCTGCATTTCTCTCCTTCTCCTCCTTGACTGCAGCTTTTGACATTACTCCACTCGATTGCCCGTTTACCCCCGAGTCAAGTTCGAGGCGGGCATGAAGTGTAAAAGAGGTGGGCCATGTCATATCCGCTCAGTGTGCATGGGATTGTTGGCATGCGCGGCGGTGATCATTGTTCAGGGAGAACAATTCTTGCTCAGAGCAGGCAGGGGAAAGTGAGGAGGATGGTAGGAAAGTGGGTTTGTTCACAGGTTTGTCCTCGCCAGCAGTGGCAGTGTGAGTATATCAAAAGCACGTTTTATGTTTTATTTGTTCGTTTGTGTTTAAGTCACATCTGATCACTGACAAAATTCCACCATTAAATTTGCAAAATTTGAGTAACATTTCGCTCTCCTTCCTGGACACAAGGGTAATTTCAGTATAAGCCATATTAATATAATGAAACACTTACACATGAACTATTCCACGCTGATAAGACAAAATATTAGAATTGAATAAGTACAATTGATGGAGCACTTTGCATATATTCTCTTTGGGGGATTTCTGAGCGGAAATGATTTAAGCTCATCAGTCAGCATGTAGATTAGTTACTGGGCTAGTTAACCAGTTAGCGCGTTTCTTATTCCTATTGGTCCTCCATGGTGGAAAAGAAGAACAAAAAAACTTTTTTTGAGTGCGCATTTAAAGAATGAAATGTTACTGATACAGTTCAGTAAATATTTTCTAAAACGTTATGCCAGTTGTTTCTTCGTGGTTTATGCATACATAAACTGCTTCAAGATGGAAACTGAAATTTTAGTTGCAGCAATTTAAGTTTTGGAACTCGATGTTGACTGAAAACGAATCATCTGGAATCTTTCAGCAGAAACGAACCGAATCTGTAAAAACATCGAGATCAGAATCGGAGCGCTTTGATTCGATAACAATACAATCGTTTACGTACATGACAAGAACCTGATGTTTGCGGTTTTAGGGAATTGTATTTTCCAGTCTAATGACGTACGTCGACTCTGACGTGTACTATTGCAGAAAAGTAGTGGACCGCGCATGTTTATTGCGCACAAATAAAATAACTCGCTGACCAAGAGTTAACGTCACCGTTTCAGCGATTAATCAAGCATTCGCCTGGTTGCTATAGGCAACAGATTAAGAATGCATCCTTGACATCGTGGGGTCACAGGTGCGTGTTTTGGACTCAGCAGCCAATCAGAGGTGTTGTGCGTCCCGTAACTGGGAACCGTAGACGACTGATTATGGCCGGTATATTGGATCAATAACTGATATCTGGGAGAACCGAGAAGGATGGAGTGCAGAGACAAGAGGGAAGGATGAGCCATTGGACTCTTTATTATTATTATTATTATTATTATTATTTATTATTATTATTATTATTATTATTATTATTAGCTAGACTTGATTTGGGTCCTTGCTGACTGGTCAATCGGGTATCAAGATGGTTTTTTTTGTCAAGCTCACCACATGTATGCACCCCCCCCCCCCCCCCCCCCCCCGCAATTTCCGTGTTAAACACGCAAACACCATAAATGAGAAACAAGTGATTCTCAGGCCACATAAAGTCCTCAAACAATCTGACCCACATCCCTCCTCAGCTTGGTCATCGCCTGGTCATTCATTATTCAGCGGCTCGGATTATTAGCCGTAAGATGGCAGATGTCAGAGCGCGATGGAGATGTTGACGCTCGGCCGACTGGAGGGGCCATTATCCCGGCCAGCTTATCAAACATTCATGCGGCAGCTGTGGCTTGTGGCCCGGCCCTCCGTCCTCTGCTCTCACGGGACAACTTCCCGTCACTCCTGAAGCCGCGGTGACCTTTCACCTCGGTGTTATCGCAAAGCGTTAAAACAAAGAGACGGAGCCCCGCTTGTTTCTGTCGATTAACAGCAGTCGTCGGTATAAATACGTGAAATACAATAAAATTCATGGCAACTGAAAAATATAAAATTTTGAGTAAGTGACGAGATCGAAGGTCTGTGACGTCATAGTGAAATTCAGCACCTACAGTAAAATAAAATAAAAAAAATAAAACGTCTATGAGTTTAATAAGTAGGCCTACATAAAATTCAAGCAGTGTTTTTTGTTTGTTTTTTGTTTTTGTGCCGCACAAAAATTCAAATTTTACACATTTTATTATCATGACATCATCCCGAATGTGTCACTGCTCTCGGCATAATTAACTCAATTAACTGGTGGCGTCACGAGGGTGGCAGCAAAAGGTTTGACAAAGTTCAACTTTCTAAAGGTTCGACGTCACAATCACAATTATTTCCCTTAATGTGATTTAAAAATAAATAAATAATAATAATAATAATAATTGTTATTATTATTATTATTATTATTATTATTATTATTATTATTATTATTATTATCGAAAAGTCTGAATGTTGATTGAAAAGTTGAAACAGAAAAAGACGTTTAAAGTTGGCTAAAGTTGGTTTGGGCGGATCAGCTTGGCTCAGCCAGCTTTAGACACAGAACTTAAAACCCAGAGCTCGTTTTGATTGTCACTATATAACACAAACATCAAAGTTATGCTTTCACCGAACGGGTGTGTTTATTTTGATATGACTATATCGATGTATTATTTAAATTACACATCTGAGTGTTTTTTTTAAATTTATGTTGTATGTATAATAAGCCTAATTAAAAAAGGGATAATTGATACACATAATTACTTATTTCTTTTTGACGTCTTTCTCTCTCTCTTTCTCTTTCTCTCTCTCTTTTTCTCTCTCTCTCTCTCTCCTTCTCTCGCTTGAAACAGAAAATAAACTTTTTTCCCCAACTTTTCTCAAATTAACAGTGATGTTTTTCCTCTTCTGTTTTCGCTTGTCTTCCTTATTCCGCCACCGACAGCAAAAAAAAAAAAAATAAAAAAATAAAACGTCACTTTTCCAGTTTTGTCCCGGTAAACTCGGCTGTTTTTGTCCAGGCTTTAGGAACCAGCGGCTCGGCTTCGGCGTTTCCATTTGACCGCGGCCGCACAGACCGTCCGCGTCTCTTTGTGAAGGACCCTGTTGAACTGACCCCTCCGCGCCGCGCGCCCTTCTCTGCTCCCGCGCGGCCTCCTTCGAATCCGCGCGTGCGCGCGCGAGCGCGCGCTGCGGAATGCGGCCCAGAATCTCGTGCAGAAGTAATGGGAAGTAGTCGGAAGGTGAGGTCGGGGGTTCACGGCGGGGCTAAAGACAGTCATCCGTAGCTTTTTTTTTTTGTTATTTCAGTTTTTTTCTCTCTCCCAAACTCAACATCCTTCCTAGAGAAGGATGTGTCCAGAGTGCCACCGTCCTCACCCCGTCACTGTGCGCACTCTGTTTGTTTTTATGCGTTTATTAAATCTTCCCCCGGCAGGAAAAACCCACCGACATCACCACGTCACACCCACACACCCACCCCGCTCTGCTCCATGAGAAACCTGTCTCTGTTTGGACTTGAAAAGTCTGCAGACTGTTTATGTCCTCAAAAAGGTTTCTGAAAAAAAAAAGAAAGAAAAAGAACAAAATCCCAAAAAGTAAAGAAAAAAATATTAATATGAGTACATTAAAACAATTAATGTAAACCTTGATATTTCTAATTTTTTTTTTTGCCTCTGCTCTTTTATTCAAATGAAAAATTATCCAATTCTATGCACACAACTGATATTAAAACCTCTCACCCACTCCCAAGTTTCTAAGCATTAAGAATTAGGTTTCTTGATTAATCCACAGAACAAATCATATTTTAGCTGTGACATTAATGTAAGTGTCTGAAAGGAAACAGACTTATGGAGAGTCTTCTCCCCTCTTCCCCCCTTTTTGGAGCAGAGATTACTATTATCTCATTATGGATAACTGCTTGGAGGTCAGGTGTTATCAACCAATTTAATTGCCACTGTATTAATCTTCAAGCTTTTGACCCAATTTATAGTATTTTCTCTCTCCCTCTCTCTCTAATGAAATGAGAATGTATGTGGAAGGTCTGTGTAATATGGATTTCTTTTTTTTTTTTTTTTTTAGGAAACCAGGTGAAATAATTATTAAAGCTTCACTCTATTTTTATGGACGAGATACTTTGCAAAGACATATATAGTTTTTTGGAGCTTTATGTCTGTTGAGCTGGAATTGAAACCTGACGTCTCCTTTGTAAATACTTTCCTCCCATTTCCAAGCATGTATTTGTTAGAGATGAACCGAACCTGCTCCGAACCGACTTTATGTCAATTTCAGTTTATAAACATTGAGTTTTCTTCACAAGTGTACGAGTGTGGAATTTTTTTTAATGCTTTTATGAGGTTGACGTTGGAAACATTTTAGTCTTTTCTACAGCCAATGCCACTTTACATTCAGAATCTTCTCACACAATTTGATTTTATTTCTTTACATTTTCTGCATTTTCACCGTGTGAAACTTTCTAACTTTCTAACGAGCCTCTTTCTGGCAAAACGGGAGCCTAAAAGTTTGAACTTATACATTTTGGGGTTTTGTATTTCCTGACTTGTGCTTTGTTGAAAATGCGCTGCTCTGTTTCACATGCTCGCCTAACAGTTTACTGTGATGTAACGAAATATTTTTGATGCATAAAAAAAGTTGCAAATAAAACACATTGAGTCATTTTCTTTTATTTTGTTGTTTAATCTGTGGGTATTTTGCAGGTCAAAGTGCTGTGTAGCCAAATTAGTAGTTTTATTAAAAAACAAAACAAAAACAAAAAAAAACAACAACAAATTGCTGCCTTATATGGCAAACAGAGGCACACATACTCTCACTTGCTGTCGGAATGTGGACCATGGAGGCGTGTTGAGGTTTAAAAAGCAGTCCTGCTCTCCCTCATACGTTTTCCATGATGGAGGACGAGTCTTTTTTTTTTTTGGAGTGATTGCAAATTTGCGGCACCCCAAAGAGCAACTTTTACCAAGAAACAAAACGACAGTTCATATCAAAGAGGAAGCAGCTGAGAGAAAAGATAACTGAATAGAGATGTAGGGTGGAAATGATTGAAAGAATAAGGAGAAACAGTGAAGAAATGATAGTCTGACATAGTGACTGACATTCATGCAGCAGGATTAAAAGAAAATGATCATAACAAGAAGAGGGAATAACAGAGGTGAAGGGTTTTTATTCCCCTCCCCCCCAAAGGCAAGAAGAAATTCAGCAAAATTCAGTTTTATTGTTACATTCCCCCCGTTGCCTCTCTCCTCTGCATCACCCATCCTCTCTGTTTCGCTTTGTGTTTGCACAGACATCTATACTGCAGAGACATTTTGGTTGTCAGCCTATCTCTTCCTCACCATGATGCCTCTGAGACCAAGCAAGCAAGGAAAACACACACACTAGTGCACGCAGGCAGGCCCACACACACACACACACACACACACACACACACACACACACACACACACACACACACACACACACACACACACACACACAAACACACACACACACACACACACACACCCTTCTAGTCACCACCGAGGAAAAGAGGAGGAGTAGAAACCTGGCTCGGCGTCGCAATGAAAGCCCCACTTCCCCTCAGTCAAACAGTCAGGTAGACAGCCGGGTGTAACGCCAAATCTCTTCCCCCGGGTTCTCACTGAGGAGCTCGGCTCATTCTGGCGCTCCTCGGCCGCCGTGTGTTGCTTTCTTTCCTGCTTCGTGCTTCAAGACAGCGGATGGGAGTCAGCTTTTGGAAAATGGAGCATGGTCTCTAAAAAAGTTTAGAGACAATACTAAGGGGTTTTGAAATCTCAGCAGAAACAACCAAATGAAACGCGTCACGTCCAAAATGAAGCATGACTCGTCTGTGCCTTGTCTCTCACTTCAACCTGACCCCAGGTTCAGTCATCTTGAGCACCACTTCACCCCAGAACCCACCTTCTCTCTCTCTCTCTCTCTCTCTCTCTCTCTCTGTGTGTGTGTGTGTGTGTAAGATTGTTTGATTTGTTGTGTGTGGGACGATAGAGAGAGATGAGAGAGGATGGTGGCCAATCTTAGATTCCTGACTCATCCAAAGAGAGAACACTGCTGATATGGGAATGAAGCCATCAAGTGCACACACACACACACACACCCACACCCCACGCACACACACATAGAAAGAGAGCTTCTTCCCATCAGGCTTTTGTTGTGTTTGCCAACACTGATCCTGACGATGATCTCATCACGTAACACGTCCAAAGCTTTCACATGAGAATCAGTGTGTCAGGAATGAAGTTTTTCAGTAAGTTGGACGGGTGGGTAAATGGTGAGTGAGATGGTATCATCTCAGATAAATTCAGGAGTTTGATAGCTAAATATGTCAACTCAGACAGAGCAAAAGGAACAAGGAGGAACAAGAGGTGGGGGGAAAAAGTGGAACAGGGAAGAGCGCTAAAAGCACTGAGGCTCCCAGAACTCGTGTCAGCTCAGAAATTTCCAATAGCTGCGTTAGGTCAATAACAAGTGGCTCTGTACGCCGGGGAAAGTGGGGCATTCAAGTCTTGGCAAGAGTCAGGAAATAAAATCGCTCTTCCTGAGCTGCAGCTGAGGCAACCCATTTTTGAAAAAATGGGTTGCAGAATTTGCATTTGGTTCCTGAAGCATTTAGGAAGCACAGGAACTTTTTTCTCGCAATTTCTCAAAACTAAACTACAAGTTTCAGTGGATTGTAGTTGAGTTAACGCAACTTTGCACATAATTATGAGGAGATGCATTGTGAACGAAATCTTTGCATTTGTCATTTTTGGAAAATAACAAATGCTACGTCTGAATGGATGGACTTTGACTGTGCCACTCTGAAACATGCCTGTTGTTCAACCAAAACCCTGCTATTGTTCTTGGGGTTATTGTGAAAATCCCAAAAACGTTTAAATCAAAATGCTTCAGGTTACTTTTCAAAACCACTCTATGTCAAAACATAATTAAGAATTACTGGCAAAAAACCTGAAACTTCACCCCAAGTTCTGAATACCATGCAATAGTTTTTTTTTTTTTTTCATTTACTCATTGAAGTCACCACTCAGTCAAAAAAAAAAAAAAAAAAGTGCCACCAGATACCATAGTCATATCACCACTGACAAATTCAGGCAAAGATAAACACACCAGCTCCTTTCTATTTTTTGTGCTAAAAAAGACATTAAAGAACAACGTGCCATAATTGTTGGCAGCTGCTAAAAACCAGCAGCCTGAACACACCACGGAGGCTGAAAAGGAGAATAATGCGCTCTCATCGATTGTTTACCAGATAATAGCCTCGTCGTTACTTATCTAACAGAGGCTGCTTGATTGAGTTTCACTTCCCTCAGGTTTTCCCACCGCTCTGCCATGAGAAGAAGAAAACGAAAGACAGGAAAAAAAAAATAGAAAAAACTAAACTAAAGTTATGAAAAGCATTATTTATTAATTTATTTAGTTACTTTGAATGGGAGTCAGAGTTGATTTGCAAGTGCTCTGCCTGATGAGCAAGAACAAAACGCAGAGCCGGAGTCGAAATAAGTCCTCCCAAAAAAAACAACTGTATCCGTTGTTGTGCTAATCCTAAATGAACTAAATGAAATATGGATTCAGTAAAAGGATTAGGGCGTCCAGTGTCATAAAAGAAACCACTTACCAGCTCCAAAGGTAATTTGTAACCTTAGCAACTGCTTGTGGAAATGAATGGGGGATTAGGATTGGCTGCAGCCGGCCTCAAGCGGTCAAAACAACCGACTCACACACTGATGCAAACCCAGTGGGTGCAGTAAAAAAATAAATAAATAAATAAACTGCTATCAGAAACAAAAACAAGGCGTTGTGTTATACTTAAGTGCAAAAGTAAAGTGAAACAGGGAGACAAACAGATCAGGAAGAAAAATGAGAGAAGAGCGAACAGAAAACTGGCAGCAGCAAGTCAAGGAAAGGGGTCACCATGTGATCACTGAAGGGTCAGTGAGGTTTGGTTGGAGTTAACCCGCCTTGCCTTTATTTGACTAATCAAACCAAAGCTGTCTGGATGTGTTTGCGGTTTGGTTGGGTGCGCCGGTTCTCAGGGCGCCGAGGCCTCAACTCAACCTGCAGACTCTCACATTACACTTAATGATGTCAGCTCCCAGTCCAACAGACCCGGATGAGGGGAAGCGGCCGAACTGACGCAACGTGACGCAAATTCTCACAGGAGGGAACATCTGCAGGTGAGAACAGGAGGAAGCAGAAGAAGAAGGAGGATGAGAGGAGCTCGTATCAAGTCGCTCATTGCTTAATCACGTGGAAGTGACGATGGCCCAACTTGTTCTCCTTTTGTTTGACATAATCCCTCTGTTGTTTGTCCTCCGTGTCGCCCGCTCATGCCTCCGTGGTTCGCGCTCCCCTCTCAGCCTGCCCGCTCCTCCGCGTGACTCATCGTCCCCCCCACCGCCGCCATAAAGTCCGCGGAAGCTATTAAAACGGTGGCAAATGGCTTCTCCGGTGACATTTGCTGACATTCAAGGAAGTGCATTTATCGGAGTACTACAGTTCACCTCGGTGAATGAAATCCATTTGTGTTGCCGCGATGGCCCGGTGGCCCCTCTTTCTAACTACCCCCACCCCCACCCCCACCGCCCCCACTCCTCTCCCTCCACCCGTGTCCCTAAATGGATGCCCAGTGTACGGGGAAATGGCAAGGTGGCGCGCGGCTTCACAGCTGCTCTCAAATGTCACGCTGGAGAAAAAACCTTTAATGGGCTAAGTGTAGCCTTTCCAGCCCTAACTTGTCAGGTAATCAGAAATCTCTCTCTCTCTCTCTCCGTCTCGCCACTCATCCACCTCTTCCCGGCTCCCTCGGGCCACGACACGCCACTAATTACCTGTTATACCAATCGGAGAGATGGACGGCGCGGAAGGGGACGACTGCCTGCCTTCCTTCAAGCAGGGAGGATATCACAGCCTCCCCCGGCTCGTTGCTTGCAGTCAGGTAGGCTTGCGGATCTTTTCGCTTGGTTACGAGCGGCGCGCGGCGGAGGCACGGCTCCCTGGCACCGCCGTCACCCGGGACGTGACACCTCTTTATGAGGAGATGACTTTCCGTGTAAGTGAAGGGGAGCTGATTTATTATTCTCACCTGCGGCCGCCGGTCTCTGTTTCCTCAAGGAACATTTACATTTGACCGACACATGAACCGTGAGCCAAACAAATACACGGTTTGTTTTACACACACACACACACACATATACACACACATATATATATATATATATATATATATATATATATATATATATATATATATATATATATATATATATAATGATCCCTAGAGTGCCTGACCTCTGACACAGGATGATAAAATGTCATTTCTGAAGAATGTGACGGTGTTTAAACACTGGAGTACCAAATGGTTGTGGATAGCATTTTCAAAGAAAAAAGAAAAAGTTTCAGTCTTGGTGGAAAAATGTTACCGCGGCATGTGATTCTCACCCCGGTAAAAACTCAGTAAGTTAACACAAACATGTACAATCGAGCGTAAAAGAAAACGACACCTTGAGATAAATGTTGAGTCCTAAATGTGAAAGGGGATTCTGGCCCGTCAACTGGGCCAAGCAAGTCCGGACAACCGTCCGTTTCCACATTGTGTTTATGTTTGTGTTCTGGCTCTATAAATTCTTTGTAAATGCGTTCTAAAGTCAG